TCAAATAAGACATGAAACTGGCAAGTATACACAATCACGCAAAAAATTTTAAAGAAAAAAAAAATATGTTCTATTTTGCAATCATTCGACGTTTAAAAAACAGTTTTATTTCTTTTACGCTATGTTTTCTGTTCAAAATATAATACGGGAGCTTTTTTAGCAGTTTGTAAAAAGTAAGATGCGAGAATGATAAGAAATCGCGTCAACATAATATCATCAATCTGGCTGTTTGTAACAAATCGTTACACGTTAGTATCTATAATGAGATTCAATATAATTTATGTACATATTTAACATATTCTATTTTAGAATATAATAGGAACGAAAAAAAAACTGTAAGAAGTATAGGTAAACATAATCTTTGTCAAGATCAGACTTTTATGTAAATATGGCTTTATTTAAAATGTAGTTGGTCTAAACAGTTTGGAGAATTAGTATGCAGGTACTGCGGATAAGAGGCCATCCATAAATTACATCTTGTGACATTGTGTGATAAAGGGGTGGGAGGGGTGCTAAATCTCGGGACGTCACATTTCAAATTCAAATACATGTAAGTATTCAATCACAAAATTAGAATTATTAACTTAGTTCTTTTCAACTGAAGTAGCTAGCTGAAATAGACGGTAGAGATAGTGTTAAAAATTATGACGTGCACGAGAAGCCGAAAGGACCTATAGGAATAATTATTTGTGATTTATGATTTGATTGATAGAAAAGAAAATCAATTCAGTAGGTGACAGACTGTATACAATGTACTTATACATTGTCACAAAGGACTGAGCCGTTTGTTAGTCGCCTCGTTAGTAGAGTTTATTAAACATTTTACAAATATTATAAACGCGAAAGTTTGCGAGTATGGATGGATATTTCATACTATTTCACACAAAAAATAATGAATGCATTTTCATGAAACTTTACTGTAATATAGCTTATACATCAAAATAATACATAGACTATACTTTAAATTGATATTATTTAAATTAGGCGAAGTATAATAATAAATGTCAAGTAAGTATGATGCAGACATGTCAATGAGATAATAATATTATGTACTGAATGATACCACATCGTTGTCGATGGTACTTGTAAAACTTAGATAGTTTCAAGAAACTTAAAGACTGTACAAGTAGAAACTTACGCAATAAAAATAAGCTAATTTTACCTAAATGCCGTCTACACAAAGTTAGTAATTCATTTTATGGTAATTGCGTAAGATTCTATAATAAACTGCCAGAGTCTACGCTAAATCTTACAGAGAGGCAATTCAAGTCTTATATTAAACAAATGTTATGTAAAAAAGCCTATTATAAGATAGATGAATTTATAGATGATAGCAATATATAGCAAGAATAAGTTTATTTGCGGACAACGTTATAATTTTAATTTTCATACTGCTTTCTTGATATATGATAGCGTAGCGGCTTTTGTATTGATTGCCGCATGGATCCTTATGTAAAGTGCGAATACTGTAACTACCATATAGTAATTTTTGTAGCTGTGACGTGGTCGTGTGGAATGAGTAGTCATGCTCGCTAAAATGTCCAGACATGTGGCGGCGTGGTGGGCCGGGTCAATGGGCTCCCTAAAATATGGTCGAGCGCAGTGATGGCTGGCTCATCCGTCATGCTCGTGAGCGAGTGCTGCTTGTAGGGACTGGTCTGCTCTTATCACTACGACTGATTTAATCTTATTGCATGATTATATTTGACCCAAAAAATTAGTGCTTGTTGGTAGTTTGTATTCACACGTTTCGACTTGTAAATGTAAAGTTACAAGGATTATTTAAAAGAGCAACACACAAGTTTCTTGCTCGTTCTTCTTGTGATGAGACAGCTTTCCGAACTAGTGGTAGATAAAAAACAAATTATTATGACTATTCAAAAGTGCTTTAATTAAGTTTATTTGAATAAATGATTTTCTATTCTATTCTATTATATTCTTGTCGCCTACGACATCATAAATGTGTGAAATCTTAAAACTGTTACCGCGACATTCTATGCTTTCTTTTAAGATAAAAGATGTTCAGTAAAAAAAACTATTGTAATGATCTAAAAATGAGATATATTTCAATTATATTCTGTACATTTAAAAATCGATAGGTAATATAATTTTACATGTAATTATTTAGGCAATTTTACGTATTGTAATAAATCCCAGTAGTCGTATCAACGATATAAATCGCAGGAAATAACAAGCACGAGGCTACACACGTGTGTATGAATTTGAACACGTATTTTTACAATAAAGTGTAATTTTGGTCTACGATCCCTGTTGTTGTCTATCACAGTATTAATTAGACACTAAACCGTTGGGTATACAAAAATATATAATAAAATTCTTATTAGAAAATATAACATAAATATGAATTATAAAGGTATATGGCCAGTAAGTCAGCAACAATCTCGTTACTAGCAAAGAATCATATCAGGCCGACCTCCACGTAGGGCCTTCTGGTAGCCATCGTTGTTTTAATAGATATTTCAAAATCCTACTTAAATCATAAGACAGTTAACATGACAACAATTTGGTAGAGAGTTAACGAACAAAACACCTTTAGATACAACTACTTCCAAATCTGTATAGCGTACCTTACAAAAAAATATATCTATACGTATATGTACTATAGTATTGAGGACTAGCTAATATATAGCTATACATATGTTTTTGTTCAATCTGTGTTACTAGAGCAAAGACGTACATATTCAAAGTATTAAGGGGGTGGTATATCGGCGCTACGGTGGCAGATAGTCGTCGTCAGTGCCGTGACCGCAGAGACAATTTATATTTATAGTATACTAGCTGTCCCGGCAAACGTTGTTTTGCCTTAAAATAAAAAATAATGATTTAGGGGTGGACTACCCCTAACATTTAGGAGGGTGAAAAATAAATGGCCGATTCTCAGACCTATTCAATACGCTCACAAAATTTCATGAGAATCGGTCAAGACGTTTCGGAGGAGTATGGGAACGAAAACTGTGACACGAGAATTTTATATATAAGATTATTTCCTATGTATGTTAGTTTATAAGGTGTTTGTAATATAGGCCATGTAGCCTAAATTAAATTAATTACAAAGAGACCAAAATTAAAAAACACGGGATAGCGACTGAATATTTTATTTATTATATGTATATTGAATTATTAATTTACGTACCTCAATTTGCTTAAGTCATTTTTCAAGAGAATTTTATCAAGGACAATATTTCAATTATCTTTATGAAAATTAAATTAGATGACTCACCCAATATGAATAACTTCAGTATTGAGCAATAACTATCACGATAAGTATATGTTGACTTTCACTATGTTATTGTCAATCAATCAATCTAATAGAAAGATGACTGAAGAAAAATATTGAATGTTTAAAATTGACACAGCTACATATACCTACAATGCAAACATTAATATTTGTAAACATAGTTCGCTCTTGTATGGCATATTATTTAATTGAGTTCATAGATTGATAGTTCTATTTCTATGTCCATGATACACCACCAACCGTTGCCATAGATACAAACTAAACAACAGACACTGGAAAGACAATAAATGCATCGAAGTATCGCCTCAATATCTTACATGACTGTGAAAACAAATCAACTAAGTATATTGAACATACGAACTGGTAATAACATTACTAAAAGTATGTTATCGATTCGACAAGCATTTTGAATGAACTTTTTGTATATAGTCGTTAACACAAAATAAATTGACAAATTAGTTCAAATTAAAGAACTTTGTATTGTTACGTAAATTGTTACGTTATTATTCATCGCATTTTTCATGAATATAATACATTATTACAATATAATATATATTACAGATATTCTTTTTTTTATTAACTAAATCGATTTTTGGGATTTTGTTACCAAACATTTCAAACTAATTATAAATACTAAAAATACTAAACAAAAATTAAATAGTTATTGACGGAGAGAGATATATTCCTTAAATTGCTTGTATCAGCGGACAACACACAGACATAAGGGCTTTACAGAGCTTCGTTTGTTATTATTTCAGGACAGTACATGTGTATTGTGTTTTAATCGTTCATCCAGAAATAATCACTTCAATTATCCGAAAAGTGAAGTGTATTCGACGAAGTTTTACCGAGAAATACGAAGGTTGATTATGATTAACAAGCGTATATTATGTAAATCAACTATATGTGCTATATAAATAAAATATAACATTGTTTATCATTTTAAAATATAAATATAACGCAAGGATGATGATGATATGTTGGCAACGTCAGAATATAAACAGTATAAATACAGGAGTTAAAATTGTTATTTCTTAAGTGGAATGAAATTTAATTCACTTAATAATTTAAAATAATTTTGCGAAATATTTTGGCGTATTTCCGGAAATAAATGTCTACATCCAGACACCATATTTTACCTCTCAGTTTTAAATTAATATTGGCATTCACATTTCGGACGAACTATTTATACCTATGTCATATAGTTAAAAAACACATTACCTAATTATTTTTTGAGCTAAAGAATTGTGTAATATGATAACTCCTGAAAGTTCCTATATATATAATATAGCGCTGTAAAGCATGTGTAATTTAAAAAAAAAAACGATTAGTAAATAATCGCCCTGCCGTCAGTTACCGGAAATCGCCCCATACAATTAACCCTCAATGTCGTCACAGTTAATAATTCGCGGATTTTGTGTCAAATCTTTCAATAATTTTCGATTAATTGCATTAGCATCATAAAAGCTTACAGGCTCAATAGCACACAGGTCCACCTGATGATAAACGATATCCATCGCCTATATAGAACAGCACTACAGACATCACGTTATCATGTGACACCCATGATACCACTCATGAGTTGCCATGTCAGAGGACTAAGATGCCATGCCTCTTAACCTGTTTCTATTCCTATTTCACTGCCTAATCTGCATCCTACAACCGACACAGATTACAATGCTGCTTTGTGGTTGAAGTAGGTGAAACTGAAGCAACCACGCTTTACATTTTAAGCACTCACCTCTCTAGACCTCATGAGGTATCGCACTAGCCGACCACGTAGGACTGCGAGCGTGTTCTTGTCTAGTTCTGCGCTGCCACCAGCCACCGACTGCACCAGTACTTGCCACCGCGATAAAGAATTCTCCAATAACCGTATATCTTTTTTTTCTATCCTATAAATAGGAAATATATTGAAATGTATGTAAATATATTGTAAATCGATTACGATTATTTTCTGTGGAGGCCGCGTGGAGATCGGCCTGGTGTGTTACATTACTGGCAATGGGTTCACTATTGACAATTCGACACAATCCCCTCCCTACTGTGTGTTGTAAAATCTTTTGTTAATACTTACATAGGTGTTTTATAATCACAGTACAAATATCTGAGACTGTACTATAAACACAAAAGTTTCAGTGTTGACGAATCTATGAGATTAACGAGACTGTTCGAATAATAGTGATGATGCAACAAACAAATATATCGAATAAAAAATGACGAATTTACGAAGTTTAGTTTATATTTACCAACCTAGTCACTTTTGGAAAAACTGATTATAGATTACAATTCATTGGAGTGATTTAAAAATATAATCTAAATTGTAAAGAAATAATTTTAGGTAAGGAGATGATTGTTAGTTATGAGGATTTGTGGCTTAATTGTTAGTAGTGATAAACTACTAGCAATTATCTCGTCTCGTCGATCTCCATGCTGTCCTCATGGAAGCCCCGATGATTAATTCTCCGTGAATTCGTCACAATGGGCCCTGACTTCTTGCATAATTTATTCTTTTTTAATTTTAATCAACTACACATAAAAGTAAGTTATCATTAATTGGACCAGCGTATATATTTATTTATATGTACCTATCAGCCAGTTGCATTTCAACATCAACGCCATCCTCTTTGAAGTCTGGTAATTCGGCATCATTCATAGTTTCCTCAGCATCAGAAAATGTCACAATTTTATCACCTTGATCTAAAATAAATAAAAGTCATAAGATTAATAATAAATATATATTACATATAGTAATAGTTGTACTAGTAAAGTTGGTAATTTCAAGTTATCGATAAAAAGATGTGACAGCCAGGAAACTAGTGTATAACTAGTGGACAGATTCACAGACAGCACCTGAGAGCTTCATTGGATCAGCTTTATGAATTGAAAGGAATACAAACAATATATGAATAAGAGCCAACAGATTAAATTATTGTATATAAAACAGATTACCAATTAAAGAAAAAGTATTTAAAAAGTAAAAAGAATGCGGTATTTGCATTAATAGTACATTATGTAAAAATGTATTAGTACATATGTAGACTTACTTTTAGGTAAAGGCTGTACAGTCTGGTCAGGTAGCAACTGATACTGTTTCAGCAGCTGCCAATGGCCCATTAGAGACTTTGCAGTGCGTGATGGATAGAATACTTGGGGATTCTGCTCAAGTAACTCCTGGAACTTTTCGGGTTCTGGATGTGATGTCTGCAATGATAAAAATATTAATATTCAATCTATATTAACACTTTCAAGAGTTTATCAAACTTCTATCAGAAAAACACTTCCATTTAAAAAGTCTTCATATTAAACAAGTGGGAGTAACTTCATGGGGGATTGTTAGTAATGAGTTGCTATCAATCCTCCAGTAATTATTAATTAACTGGGATGTTTTCTATAAAAGTATCTACTATAACACAGCTAGCAAGTCATATAAGGTTGCCTTCCACACACTACCACCTGGAAAACATCCAGGTTAATTCCTGCTGAATTGATAACAATGGGCTAACTGATGTGACTACATTCTCATCCTATATTCTATCCTATCTGCCAGTGGGTTGCGCATCTATATTTAATGAAGTCTACTAGTAGGTCATAGGAGATGTCTGAGTCAACAGCCATCTCTGAGATAATTTTTGAATTTATTATCAATTATAAATCCAAAAAATTATCTCAAAGATGGTCATAGGAGATGTCTGAGTCTACAGCTATTTCTGAGATAATTTTTTGGATTTATTATCAATTATAAATCCAAAAAAATATCTCATTGGCTCTTATATCCTTTTCCACTAACTCTCAGTTGGAAATATAATTTGACAATCAATATATTTTTGGATGAGTTTAGAAAAATTTTAACTCACAACTTTTTAGTTGAAAATTGGAATAGTAAACCAATAGGCCACAATGCTGTCACATACCATTATAGGTACAATCAAGAAATATACATTAAAACATACACTTGGTAATGTCCCCAACAGTTCTTCCTCTGCAGTTGAATACAATGCTTGTTGCTGAACCGCAGCAACCAGATCTGGATGCAAATTACGCATTGCAGCCACAGCCACTCTGGATATCTCTGCATTATACAGCAATGCATACCAGCGGGATTGGAGCTCACCTATAGTGAAACGGCATGAGAATTTGATCCCACGGTGGACTACCCTCAAATCATTTGTCTGAAAAGAAACAGAAAAATTAACATTAATAGCTACATAATAATAATGTTATTAAAGGAATATTGGCACTGCCTTTTTAAGAGAGAATAGGGTCTGAGAACAGCATTAAAAATTATTTTGGTACACAAAATTCATGGAAAGAAAGAGGTAATGACTTTATTCTGCAATGCAAGTAATGGTGGGAAGATATTAATGGTGGTTTAAAAAGGTACTTCTATTGGGTATAAAATATCCTGATATAACTTCATATACATCTGTAACACCATTCTATTTAGAAAACTACTATGAATTCTGTGACCTAGCAGTTTTGTACACCATTTTACTTCTAATTCTGGTTGCAGGTTTGATTCTGCACTGGTATTTTCTATGTATATTATGTTTTTATAAAATGTATTTCAGTATTTATATCAGTTGTGTAGTAGTATTGAGTCCGATACTTTACTTGAGAAGCTTGAGACTAGATTGTTCTCTTTGAATTATCCAGGAATGTTATTAGTATTAATATTATAGACTTTTGTCTTGAGTTTATGTCTATTATTTGGTCAAAATTAAAAAACCTAAATACTTCATAATTAAGACTAAGTTAACCTCATTGTGTAATTGTAATGTAAGCATATAGCACACCTACTTCTTGGAATTATTACTTTTAATAACTTTAACATCATATTTATAATTATTAGTACCTGTTGAACTCCTAATATAAGAGCCAAGTCATCAGTGGGCTTCCATCGGCCCAAATCCTTTGTAGATAATTGACTTAATTGCCCTTTACGTCTAGCCTTCTTTCCCGTGCTCCCGCCCATAGATATCTTACTTGAAGTTCGACGACGCTCCTGCCCAGAAGAGGTCGGGTTTGTAGGTGTATTGTTTATCATAGCGAACTCAGGCAACTGACTTGTATATGACTGAGTACGCATTCTCTTGTCGCCTTTACCTATAGATGCCCCAGGCAATCTATATTCAACTAACTCATCGTCAAACCGTCTACGTTTTATAGATCTGGAAGAACTGCAATCATAAAAAGTTAATTTTAGTTTGAATAAAAGTTATAAGACAATATGCAAAATTAAATGTAATAGGAAAATATAAAACCTGCGACGTTTGTTATTATCTCGTGGAGTTGCATTTTCATACGTCCCTGCAGATCCAGGATACTCATTACTATCGGAAGCATTAGATGGAGTTGCGGGAAATTCCATTACCTAGGTACTGTCTTGGAAAAGGAAAACAAAACTGTTACTTTTATTAAAGAAAAATGAAGAATTTTATAGACTAACACTACATTAGAATTACAATTCCAAAACAAATATTTTTGTTGTTGTAAAACACAATATTTTATTCGTAGGATTATGACTTGGTATAGTTTATTAAGATAATTAAAACTAAAATTAATTGTTCTTTAATAGTTTCTAGGTATTTAGATATGAATACGTCGCACTTTTGTTTTATTATTAGTATTTAATTGTCATAAACTGTTATAAAATAAATTATAAAACTAAAAAGACAAAATAATTGTAAGCTAGAAACACAGATTACACGAAATAGCACAGAATACTAAATGTCGAGTGTTACTGTGTTACCAACCTTCAAACACTTAGCTAAAACATAAAGAAAATACGTCATATATTATTTTGACTATATCATTTTGACCTCTGAAATGGGTCTATTTCAGAGGTCAAAATCTTACAAACCTATACCTATATGTACTTGGATCCTCGTTTGGTCCGTTATGGACTTACATATTTGTTTTTTACATTTATATATATAGGTCATGTATACCTTAGAGCTTTAGATGTACATTTCATTGTTTTATTCCTTTGGCAAATGGAATTTTTGTCAATTTTATTGAGATTGTAAGGCAGATTCCTGTCTACAGTGCCGTTTATTGAGATTGTGCTCTGTGCTGATGACATAAGTGATTGCTCTCAATCTATCAACAATCAACATCATTCGGTCATTCCTTCAATTTGTCATTATCATGAACCTAAATAACCTAATATTTTATTGTATTTGAATTTTTTTATGTAAAAAATTAAATTTTCATAATTGGTCAATGGCGTGTTTAAATCGCAAACTACTAATTACGCCAAGGAATATATTATTTAGGTATTTTAATAAAATCGTTATTACTGATGATGGTTCCACCATAGTTGCACTTCACACCGAACCAGAATTTCCCTACGAACATTCAAGACCACTACCTGAGGAAGTTAAAGATGAATCTATATTGAAACTGAATGATATTAATGAAGCAAGAAGAGTATTTAAAGATATGACTCCAGAAATGTCTAGGAAACAGTTGTCCACACTTACGATGACTACTGAACATCGATGGTTTCCTAGAGCTCGTGATAAGAAAGCGAAGAATACAGAAATGAATAGGCCTTATTTGTAAATAAATACCAATAATTATGTTAATGTAGTTGAGTAATAAAATGAAATATTAATCCAAATAGATTTGTGTATCTCTTTATCTAATATAAATATAACATCCTGTCAGGGTTTTTTTTATGGATGATAATGGTATAGTGCCCCCGCCTCCTCTAACGGTTTACGCTGGCGGGGCACCAGTGGACGATGATAAGATGAAAGGTCAGGTCAGTTAGCCCATCGTGACATTTACCAAAAATTTATCATGATGGTTTCCAGAGGAACTGCGTGGAGGTCAACCTGACATGGTACATTGCTAGTAATGGGGTCATGAGTCCACATTACTAACAATCCGCTACCCCCTCCTGTCAAGGTTTGCTAACATGCTCCTTGATGGAAACAGTGTCTATTCAATTTTGGTGTATATTACACTGTGTGTACTCTGTTATACACAGGGTACCAAAAATACAACATAGCAATTTTTGCTGCATCAATAAAAAAATATTATAAAATATGTATGTAGTTATATTGTAACTTGCACTTTTAATATAATGTAAATATTAATTATGTAGTACATTATTTACAAATGGGTAGCAAACTTTTAACTTAAATATAAATGGTTCCGTCCTGATAAACTTAGATATTTTTAACAGCAAAAAATCTGATGGATCATCAAACATTAAACACTAAATTTTATACAAATATTTCATCACCCACATTTTCTCTTAAACTTCAAATAATCTGAAGCAGTACTTTATTCTACTTAATATAGTCAGCAATGCGGTACTCATTTTCATGAACAAATCTGGGTGAGCCATACTACTTGTATTATGAGTATTAGATAACCGATGCATACATTTACAATTTAAAAGTGGTTCTCATGTCAGTGGAAATCTTCATAAACTGATAAACATACATATTTTTTTATGTTTGTATTGTGTGGCTTCGGTAGTCCCCAAACTTGAGGGTCTACCACCAGGAACATACTCAGCTTCTGTCCCAATCTACTTTTGGCAGAGATTAAGTTTTTGACCCTGTTATATATAATAATGTGCATTAACATTTTTCCAGGCCAAAGTAGAGACTGGTTGATAGTATTCAGATAAATGCATTAAAATAACCATATTTTTATTAATATAACTTTATTAAAGGAAAATAAGTTTTAGGTACATATTATTACATATTTATTATATAATAAATAAATGTTTTTTAAACAAAGTTCATCTTATTTTTTGACTTTAAATATCACAATATTTGCTTTCTTTGGTGCACAGTATATCTAAATATTTCACTTACAAACTGAGACTAGATTTTGTACAACTCTTGTGTTTAAAAAAATAATGTTTATCCCTTATTATGCCACTATCCCTTCAGAACTAATTATTGATATTATACTACCAGCCTAGACCAGTATGTTAAGTATATTAAGATATTTTTGTACTATAATTTAATTTTAAATTCAAGGGCAAATTAATTTTAAACACTAGGTGTTCAATCCCAATGATCATGTTTAACATCGTATAATACCACAGTTTTATAATCTATAGAGATAAACTATGAATGTTCTTGAGCAGAAAAATAGAAGGGTTTACGAGGTGGGTGGCCGCCATGGTGTGCATACCAGACATACTACGTCATGGTATGTTGGTGTTGTAAACCTAGCCTAGTTTAGTATGTATCTCTCTTATATATATATTATTATTCATTAGCCGATAAAGTGACTATTTACTTCCATCTACGTCGAAGCAATAAGGAGGATTTTTTAAGAAACAACCTTATATGACCGTCGTTGACGGCGCCCTACATGAAACATTGGATTACTGTAAATAAAATATTGTACTGTGTTACTATACATAATTTTAAATAGACCATTAATGGTGACACATATATGCAGCCAAATGTTACATTCTGTTGGCAAACAGTGCGAGGACTTGAACAATGAGTGCCCACACTGTGTGACACCTGCTCACAGGGCAATGACACACTTATAAGATACGTATTATATATATTACTACAACTTAACAAGAGGCCATCCATAAATTACAGCACACTTTGGTGATATCTAGCAGAGGTCCCACCCTTTTTGTGATGTCACGTTTCACGGCCTATAGTTTCATATATTTTTTTCAATCGGCTGAATGAAATGTTAAATTTTAACTATTCTAATTACTCAAGCTGTGATCCTATTAACAACTAACTATGCAGTTCCAAGACACGGCAATATAAATCATGAATACAAATGTTTGTACGATACTAAGAATCGAACCTGTGATCATCGGTAGTAAGGCAGTGTGTAACCGCTAGACCACGGAGACCATCAAATTGATGTGAGGTATTTTATGGGTGGCCCCCAAGCGATCACACAAGAGCCATGATTGCCAGTCTTGAAGAAGAAACTTAATGCTAGTAAATATATCACCCCGATAACCATGGGCATAGTACAGTAATATGTAGTTATTCTAAACGATACAAGTCATTACACGACTATAAGGCTAGAAAATTGTACTATAGTTAAAACGATATTAATTACTCACTAGAAGCTATAACATTTTTAATATTGGACTTAGTAACTTTCTTAACTATAATACTAAGAATTCAAATTATCTTTACAAAAATAACAAATATTTATGTAATTCGCTCACAATTGAGTAAAACAAAATGGCACATGAGAATATTTATCTGCAATACATCTTTTAGAATCACAATATTGCTTATCGAAATATATAATATACCCATCCATAAATCCATTGCACTCATTTTATAATCTGTTTACTACCTTGAAATAACTTGTTTGTATCGTGTCAATTTTAAAATTATCACAAAATAATCATTGTTAAATAAATATCAAAAAAAGAATCATAAAATATAAACTTACAGGTACTATTGGACAAATGCAGTAACAAATTGCCCGTAAAATATTTTATCAGCAACCTACTTTATGTTAGTCATCGTAAACCATACAGGCTTTTGACAAAATAGACTGAAAAATGATGAAATCAAAGTTAGAAATTGAAGGTTACTTAAATTTTATATCCATTACATATAATGAATATCAAATTTAAATAATCTTGCAATAATGCCAAAATGAGCTAAATATCAACCATGGAATTTCATTAAAATGACGTGTCGTCATTCAATCAAGATAAAAGTCAGACTGATACAAGTAGTATTTGTTTTACTATTCAGTACTACAGTTTCTTAGTAACGGTGGCCATATTCACGATCGAGACTGCGTACACGATGACGTCCATACTTGAGATCGAACGAGAAATTGAAGTAGGGCTGCGATGGGGTGTTGGGTCAGCGGACGCGACTGATACGAAGTTCTCGGTCGAGCTGCTGCAGTTGTCGGAAGAAGCCATCATTGGGATGGATATACCGGCGAGAGCGAACCAATGACATGGCCTCAGACAGCGACATTCCACGTTTAATCATTAGGTACGCTATGGCACAGGTGGCAGAACGGGAAACACCCATTAGGCAGTGGACGAGCACACGACCTGAAAAATAGTATAAGTATTTACAATATTTAAGTACACGTAAACTGAGTGGTTCGCGACTTGACATGCGAAATTATAATGAAAAATATATTGTAGGTACTTTAATTTCGTATATCCTATAAATATACACAGCAATATGATATATTAAACCATTTAGCTGTTTTAGAAATGAATCATTCTAATATCTAATAAATGTTCTTATTTTAAAATAATAATGATTTTGACTATCTTCCTTGATAGGGTAGTCAGAGACGTATATATCAACGTCTTGAATACAATATACTCAATATTTAAGAAATAAAATAATCGTGAAAATGTCATAGACATCTGTTTTAGGGAATGTGATAAAATATGACTAATTTAATTGTCTATATTACCTTGATACGGTCCTTTAAATTTTTTTTTAGTTCAATATTTAGTAAAAGTAAAATACTTCACTGGGTACATAACAAAAAAAATAATTCAGATAAAAAAAAACTTTTATATACCTATTTAAAAATAAATTCCTAAGTAAAAAAGGGATGAATTTTATTTAAAAATATATTTGGGATTTCTACCTATAATTGTACCTACAATTTGCTTATAAACCATATGTCCCTACAGGTCAAAAAAGCTTCTACGATAACAATTAATTATTTACCACTCTATGATTAATAATCAGACTGCATTAAACAAACAGTTAAAATAAAGTCATAGTTAAAACCCCTCATATAAAGACAGTTAAAAATAAAGTGTATGCGTTTATAGAAACCATAAACAATTACCTCCACGTGAAATACCCTCATCAATGAAGTTCGCGGCAATTTGGAAATACTTCGATATATCTGTGCTTGGAAGATCCATGAGCGGGAAGCCTTTGTAGTGAATTTCAGGGTAATCGCGGTAGTATAGGTGGTTGGTATCCACCTGCGTGTACCGGAAACCCTCTGCTGTGTTCAAGACATAGTTGATGCCCATTCGCCTCAGGAATGCTTTATCCCTTGCGGCATCTCTGTACAAGATAAATTAAACTAGATAAAAAAACTTTAGAACTACAATGTGTAATAAACAAGGATGCCAGTCTTAAATCACTTAGCCTCGAACGAAAAACGACAACATTTGGTAAATATCGTATTAGCTCAATTTGGCTCTCTAATTTATTAAAATATCGTCGGTCGTACTTCAGTGAAAGTACCAAATGTGTTAATATACAAATAATTCTTCTTGGAGATATGTTTGACACCTAATTCTTAAACGGCTGGATCGAGTTGGATGAATATTTTTGTATATTTCAAAGGATTCGTTTATGGTTTTAAAATCTAATCGGGCCTAACAGGTGGCGCTGATATATAATATAATAGATTTAATTATTGTATTTAATTTTTTTTCCTGTATAAATGGTGTTAACTATTTTATGGTAAGTTTTATTTTTTAATTAATATTTACTTACGCGTCTCCAACGTATAGGCCCGGGTAAACCTCATTGAGATCAGGGTTGAAGGTGTGGGAAACATCACCGACGGGCTGCGACCGGAACGATAGCGAGTTCAGTACCGGCGTCGGCGTGGACCCGAAATTCTGCACATTAGATTTACGATATAAACAACACACTTGACCCATCTTTACAATTTTTCAGGTTTCAGTTAGTGTTCACAACCAAAATGTCCATAGAACGCTATTTAGAACAACATTACAACTATAGGAAAACATTGCAAATAATGAGAAGTCTGTGAAATCAGATAAGGTTAGATAAGCAACAGCTAATTACAAGCAAAAATGAGACAATTCGACTACTGTGTTATCATCTCGGAGTCGTTAGGTAATGTCATGAATTATTGTTAAATTACAATACACGTATTTATACGAGTACGGGTAGCTGTCAGCCGAGACTGCATTGGTGTAGGATTAAGTAGATATTAGGATATTTTTTTCAGGTTTATGTATGACTGAGCTCGTGCTCGTACTCGTGCTCCGCGATACTCGAAAAAGAAACAGTTTATACTTTATTTTGTTAGGAAATCCATTGGAATATACCAGGCATAAGCAAATCAGTACGGTTAAGCCGTTTCTGAGTACACCGCGAACAATCACAGCCAAAACTTCTAAGAGTCATTGTTTACAATGATGGATATTCCTATAAATCTTCTACGTAACGAGAACGATTACATTTTTATTATATGTATGTAAAAATGACTTTTAAATAGTAATTCGTGAAATATCCTCACAATAATTTTATCTAAATCGATTTACCCATGAAAACCAAACAAGACAAAGTCACTCTGTATCGCAGTAACTGCATACAAACACGCAAGATCGTTATGATTGTATTGACATTATACCTACTCATTAAATTACATCAATTTAATACCTATAAGAAAGTCAGAATATAGTGCTTTCTAAAATCGATAATATTATAGCCTTCTAAATAGTACTTCAGAGAAAAAGCCCTGAACATAATTTTCCATAAGTGGGGTACGTACAGTGTACTTACATAAGGTATCGATATTACATAAGATACTTTTGTTGAATTGAGACCAGTTCCAGACCAAAGGTACTTGTCAACCGGACTGAATGGTGATAAAAAAATATGACATACACGAGACACAGAAAGGTCTGATGAATGTATGGTAAATGATCTTGAGTTTAAGTTTGAATTTATGAAAATACTATCTAAGTTTTTGTACTTAATGATCGCTTAGGAGTAGTATTATGTCACTATTGCAATGTACCTATTATTCTTTCTATATGGTAAACAAAGTTATACAGTATATCAAGGGTCTCCAATCCGCGGCCCGCGGGCCCCTTGCGACCCGCCGATATGTTTACCGCGGCCCGCCAAAAGCATAGGCCCGCTCTTAGTAATGACAACAATTAAGTAATAAAAAATTCGATTTAATGTAATATAAAAAAATCCTTATAAAAATACCTATGGTACGGCCCGGTGTACATTAAAAAAATTTTTTTGGCCCTCGATTTGTAAAACGTTGATGATCGCTGCAGTAAACTATATCAATATAGCTTGACTAAAAGTAAATGAAATGTAGGTATATTAGGAAAATACTATTAAATGTGTGGCTTAAGAGTTATAATAAAATATGATTTTCACACATATGTTATTACCACACAAACAATTTCAGAATAAATACCATTAAGGTCCTTAAGTAGGAGCCTACTCGCTGCTCATTAGCTGCGCAGTATGAACGTGTTCGTGGAAATAGCGAGTACTGCCAATAACACACATTACATTAAAATTACGTCACATAAGCTTACCGTTGACAAGACACACTGCTGCATTGACTCAGTCTAAACACCCACATCCAATAATCATGTTACAATATAAATATTTCATATAATATATCAAGAAATAAACATTAGAGTTACTACATTAAAAAAGACCCAATAACATGCATTGATGTATCCAATATAAATGTATATAATAAATATAAGCACATATAAGATATAAATTATGGAAGACCTAGAGCATTTAAATAATTATATTTAAATGGTCTAGGTCTATTAGGGTATTAGTGATGGGTCATTAGTCTAGTTTTGAAATCAACTATAGTAGCATTTGATTTTTGCATTTAAGCTATGGAGCAATATACACAGTAAAGCAAATATATATACTATAATATAAATATCATAGAATATTATATAAGCTGCATTTATTGCATTCTGTATGCTGTGATATGGAAAGAGGGCTGCCATCTGTAGTCAACCCAATTTATCTTGGTCTGGCATCTGGAAGCCTACATCCATTCTCATCCACCCTACCCCTCCATTCTTTTAATCAAATATTCACCAAATTATGAATGATATGATAATGATATATAACAGTGTTTTTCAATCTTTTTGATTGTGTGACCCTTTTACAGGTTAAAATATTCTGGCCACCCCCTTATCTCATAGAAAACCAAAGAAGTAATTGATTTAAAATCCTATATATGTTAGTTGGGTAAAAATTTGTTTTTATTTTGGTTCATTTATCAATAATTCATGCGGGGCACACTATGTCGCAATTAGAAAATTATTTTATTATTAATGTTTCAAAAATAATACCAAAATTTGATAAACTATTGAAACATAAACAAGCACATCCTTCTCACTAAAATTGTGTTTTTGGTGTACATGAACCTCAACTTATTCTTTCCTCCTAGGGGTCCACAACCCACAAATTAAAAAACACTGATCTATAGTATAAATGACTCAAGTTGCGTTACATCAATACATAAAAAAAAATTATTTTTTTGCCAAAAATAACAAAGTAAAAGTGTAATTTAGATAATTACAATTGAAAAGCAATGTTTAATTTTATTTTACACTAGGTGTTTCCGCAACTTAGTCCGCATGGAATTTAACTTTATTTTTCTAAAATAAAAGTAGCCTAAGTTACTTACACGTACATTAGCTACCTGCCAAAAAAAGTCCCGTCAAAATAGGTCCAGCCATTTGGGAGATTTGCCGGAACAAACAGACAGACAAAAATTGTAAAAAATATTACTTTAGTGTATGTACCATATTTATATTTGTATGCATGTAGTAAAAAACGGTTATTTCAATATTACAAACAGACACTACAATTTTGTTTATATGTATAGATGTATAAATATTACAAATTCCTTATTCCATAGCAGGCTTATTACTACAGCAGTAAAGTTGGGATGAGTCACAAGTGATTGGTATAAAATTGTATAAACAATATAATCTAACCCATCATCAATCATGAGAAACATTTACAAAACACAGTGTATTCAGAATACATAGAAATATAACACATAATAGTGTTCTAAAAATATATTATGACTACATGTTATAAGTATCATGCCTCAAATGAGAGGCTAAGTGCAGAAAACAGAGTCCAACCTACATGTAGGTCTTACAATAGAAATTAGATTAACTATCTGCTATTTTTTACATAAATAAGATTACAGTACAGTTATTACATTTACGGGCATTTTTATCATCCCATCTGATTACAACTTCTGTAACAATAATACCTAAATTCTCATTGTAATCCAAATTTATGAGATGACAGCCCTATGAAAAAAGTAATACAATAGGTCTTTTCAACGACCTTGATATCTATGAGTAAATGTTGCGAAAATAGATCTGGGCCATGTTCAAATCTATTTTTGTATTATGTATTAAATTACTTCTGTAATTTATATACCGTGATACATATTGCATTACAAAAATACATTTTAAAAAAATCACATTACAATATCATTAATATATAAAAAAAACAAGCAAAGCGATTAAGACGCATTTAAAAAAACAATAGATACTTACGGTATCTCTGTAACTCATTTTCAGACTGGTTTTGATTTAAAAAAATACGTAGACTGAAATAAATCACAAAAATATTATACACTATGTAATATAATGCAATTTCACAGTAATAAGTGTTATATGGAAGCGGTAATCGACAGAAATGATTCTTCTATAGAAATTAACTTAAAGTAAGCAAGACAGATTGTACACTGAGTCTGTGTCAGTCACCGACAATCACAACAAAGTAATGTCAGAAATGTTTTTAATTTTTCGTGGCAAAGGATACATAAAGTGTTTAATTAAATTAGTTGTTCTCAAAACGGTATAAATTTTAGGTTTCACTATTTAAAGTAAAATAATAATGGCATAACAGGATGTCGTAATGAATTTGAGTTTTGTGGTTAGTTAAACCCTTAAACCGAAAGATCGTGAGTTCAATTTTATGAAGATATAATTAAAAAGAAACATTATATCGAATTTTTCATTTCCTTTCCCTTAAAATACATTTTCATGTTTGTATGAGGGTCATTATTGCGGTTTATTAATAACAAAGCCTTCAAAATATATATAGATACATATTTTAAGAAAATTTGGTAAGTGCATCTATTTCAAAGTTACTTGTAAAATATAAAGATAGCTTTAATAATAATTACTACAGATTATTGCCATGCATTAATGTACTCTGTGCTGCATGGCGACTTGAAAAACAGTTTCTGTCAAATTATGTCAAAGTCAAGAATAAACTTCAAGTTTGCATTTTGACCTGTTTCGGTCTCTTTGGTTTTCATATTAATTAATATTAACTATAAAGTTAGTTATACGTAACAATTTATTACGATACTATTAAATACTTATGTGGGAACTAGTGATAAAAATATGCTAGGCATAAAGCTTTGATATTGAGTTACATTTTTAATAACATTTTATTTACAATGGATGAGAAAGAAGAGTTACATCTAACCTCTCAAGAATTACAAGTTCTGTCCGAGCTTGACAGGTAAATATTGTATTATATGCAAATTAAACATTACTGCACTATGGTGTGCTAAATATTTAAGTATTGAATACATACTACTTTTCCTAATTGCATACCAAGCATATATTTGAAGTACTTACAGAATTGTGTACAGTACATTTTAGAAGTTGTCAATATTTAGTTGTAGTAGTAACTTTGAAGTGGATTTACTAATAAAATTAATGTATAAAATTTACAACGTTACATTGTTACAATTTCAGTCGACAATTTGGATTCTTGAAGTTGAAGGGAACAGAACATGGGAGGACCCGTGCACTCATTCTCAAGGCGGTTAAATATTTGGAAGGAATGCTTGTTCAAATCAAGGTATGTTAAATAATTTGTCATTACAGTAGTTATTTCTAAAATTTCTTGTTCAGTGTTGTTAACTAATTTATACTGTACTAGTTACCCGCCCTGGCTTCGCAAGGGTGTACATGTATTTTAACACCTTCCAATTGAATCAGTCTATGTATTGGTAAAAACTGCATTAAAATCTGTGGTATAGTTTTAAAGATCTAAGTGAACAGACATTGGAAGTGACTTCATTTTATACAATGTAAAGATTTTTTATTATTTTTTTCTACATTTATTTTATTACTTTCTTAGTTTATCCATATGTATATGTGTAAATTAACTGATTAACCTGTAGAACTATTGGCATTTAGTAAAGTAATGAGAAAATAATTGTAATAGATTTACACCTAGTTTTTATTAATTATAATACTCTATGATTTTAATTAATTATTATATATATCCTTCATTTATTTAAAAACACTTGTCATAGTAATTATTTTTACTGTGTTTATCTGTATATATTGATTGTATAAACTGCTTTATTCCTCAAACTAAAAAAGTGAGTTGAATGAATAATTATTGTAATTATTATACTATCCATTTGGCGGGTGTTATCACATTTAGACTGGTGTCTTCAGTACTTGTTACTTTCTGTTATATATGCTTTTGTTCACTTATTTGAGATTTATAAATGCTTAATTTCCAATACAATGTCAGTTAGGGATTATAGACTTAAGCTGGAAGGTCCTAAGTTATCTAATCAGTGTTGTAGTTAATTGTAATTCTGTGGTTGGTTATAATTGTATAATATTTACTAATATTTTCTTTCCAGGAGGAGGAAAGGGCTTGTTCACCTGGTGCTAGAAGAGACATATGCATAGATCCTAAGACATATTGCAAATTGGGACATTTTCACCTATTACTAGAGGACTATGCCAAAGGTTTTGTAGTTTATTTATATACTTATACTTGATGATTATGTTTACTATGCATTATTAAATATTTATTTATTTATTTATTTCAGGCAACTAGGCCCATATTATAAATACCTTATAGACTAACATACATATAATATAATATTTAAAAACTAACACATTGATATTGTCTGTATGATCACAGCATTGAAGATGGCAATCTGCCTTGGTACCGCCGATATACCACACCTTTCGGCCAGTAGTCCTCTTTCATGAAGGTGGGCAGCAAGTCTGTGGGGACCAGGGCCACAAATGCTTTGAAACTCGCATTGTGACTCGACTTCAGCTGTGTCACCCCCACTGTTAATGAAATTAAATATGTCATAATGGCTACATGAAGACAATTTGATATCTTTATATATAAAAACTATGTGTCACATTGTTTGTATGAGTTTACTACTGAACCAATTGCAAATTTGATTTGCACATTGTGTGCAATTTGATCTAACTTGAAAGATAGTACAGCTTACACATTAATTTATAGTAACAATATTATTTTATTGCAAATTATTTTAATATATAAAGAAACTGTTAACCATACGCGTGGGCGGGTCTGCTAGTTAAAATATAGATAACCTTTTTTGGTTTGTTTATTCATCATCATCAGCATCATTGCAGCCCGGAAGACGTCCACTTCTGGACATAGGCCTCCCCCAAAGATCTCCACAATGTTTATTTATGTTTAGTCAGCAGATTATTATTTGATATATATTTTTTGTCAACCAAGTTGCCATATATATATATAAATAACAGTAAAAATAACCATATGTTGTCTATGCACACATAAATCAAATAAATTGATTCTAAGGATATGTTATATATGTGAGAGATACCCTTTCAGTATTTTGCAATAGTGGTTAGTGATTGCCTCTCTACTATGTCCTGTTATATGAAATAGACTACCATTCCCTCAGGTTTCTTCATCAAACTTGATTTAGTTGCTTTTAACATTTAAATTTGTTCCTAATAGATAGTTTACTCTATCACTATCAGCACCACCAACTAATCTTCTTTTTATTATTATTTACACTAAATTTTCTCAGCCTTATTATTATTATTATAGCTTTAACTTCCACAGAATATTTTTCAATAATAATATGTAGTATTCTTTTTTTATATATTTTTTTCTTATTATGTGGCCCCCTAGGATAAAGGCCTCCATCTCATCTCATTCTCCATCTTCTGCCAACCTGCCAAACTAAACTTCTTAAACATGTACTAAAGTAATAATAATCTTACAGCTATGTCAGCATATCAAAAATTCTACGCACTGGAACAGGACAACTGGAAGGATCCCCTGTTTTTGTATGGACTTGGACTCTGCTATTATCACTACAATGCTTTTGAGTGGTAAGTTTTTGTATTATTGTATGATTTATGTTACTTTTATAACCTCTCCAATATTAATTATAATTAAACGAACAAAACAGTTTATGGATAATCTCAATTGAAGAAATTTTAAGACAGTAATAACTGAACTTGAATGTGACATGAAAGACTAAAACTGGCCTAATTTTAGTCTTTTATTCTTCTTGTCATTCTTATCCACCCGTTGTGGTTGTATAGAATTAGTTTAGTTTCTTTGCCTTTCCCAAAGGGAAACAGGACTAAAATTATAGTTAAGAGGCCTTTCACATTTTTTGGCCTAAAAGCAGGGTCTTTGGGGTTCTGGTTCTAAGAAATTAAGAGTCGGATATACATTTTGATTCCTGAATTATATAGATAGATATCTAATCTTAAAAACTACATCTTTGAAATGTTAATTTTCTCTTTGTTAGTCTTCCTAATTTCTAAAATAGTTTATTCAAAAACGCTAAATGACAGAAGTTTGGGGTCGTCGTTCATTAATAAACAAACATAAATTGATATGATATCTATACTAAAACTTGATAATTACTTCATAAATTGAGACAGCATCGTCCTTTTTTTCATTTTCAACTTAAATATCTAAAAAATTGATCATAATGAAACCCGAAATTTCAACAAAACTTTGCCATAATCATTTCTAATTTTCTCATAAATACAACGAAATTTTTGCATAAAAAAAAACATAATAATAAAGTTAATATACTTGTAAATTAGAAATATAAAAAAAAATATAAGTTTCTAAGAAAAAAATAAACAATAATAATAATTGAAAGTTGTATAAATTCCGTTGCGCCAAAAGTAAATTCTCAGTGCTGCGCTAGCGCTCGTCGAGGTAGGACCTATGCTATTTTTTACGACACCGCTACGATAAGACATTCGTAAACATTTGTCAGTGAACATTAGTATAGTGCGACTAAACAATTTTGATAATTTAAGTAATATTTAATTAATTTTGCTAATATATACTTATTTCTACGAATATTAATTTAAAGTTGTATAATATATATATATATATATATATATATAATATTTATTTTAGCATGCCAAAACAAAAGTACAGTTATGCTACAAATAAAACCTACCTACCCTGCTGCACTATGAAAAGCACAAGAGCATGGTATTTCGTCACACTAATGGCAATTAATTGTTAAAATTAAAAAAGAGAACGTTTTAGTATTTTTAAAAATAATGCTTATCTGAGAGAAAAATGTAAACCAATTTTACTTTATGTTTATTTTGTAGTTTTTTTCTAAATTAAAATAGGGTTATTGTTTAGAAAAATACCATTATTATTTTTACGTACATTTGTCTTGTGTTATATCATCTAGTATGCAATGTGGATTGTAAATAAATTACCAAATTATATATAAATTATATTCCTTAATGTTTAGAGATATTTTATCCAATTTACTTTATTTTATTTTACACAATACAGATATTTCTAAATTGCAGTCATTCTGTTATTATACTCGTTGGACTTTCATTACTGTACAGTTATGTCAAATAATTATGCGTGTTTGGGTGAAAAGTCAACAACATTATAAATGTTTTTATTTAGTGACTAGATTATCGCGCGTTTAAAGATCCGTGTACAGTATTGGGTCGTTATATATAAACCTTCCTCTTGAGTCTATCTATTCTGTCTATTAAATAACAACGAATCAAAATCTGCGTAGTTTTTTAAGATCGAAGCATACATAGATCTATTACATGACTGTGTAGATGATATTTTAACCGGAAATTGAAGCCGTTAAAATGGTATTGGCAGATCAGTTGGAATCATCGGTATTCTTGGTATATAAGCTGGTTGCCCAGCTAACGTACCGGTTATAATGGTCTACAATTAAATTGTCTTTCAATTCTTTAGTAAGCAACATATCCAATGGGATGCCATTGCACATGTTCGGCGGGCTTAAATTTCATGATTGGATCATGCTTTTGAGAAATTCCTTCCTCAAGTTTGAGCAGTTAGTGTGGGAAATCACTATCTGTGCTTCCATAAAAATGAGCTCTCAAATTTGTCAGTAGTTTTAAACTTTCAATTAAAGTACATAAGGGAGACGATGTTAATGACACAGAGAGTCTTTCAGAAATCTCCAGCAAAAGTATAAAAGTAATCCCGCCAATGAGAGCAGAGGTGTTTCTAAGGTCTTTTAAGGTTCTATCCAAAATCTCTATAGCTCATGGTGATTTCATTACATATAATCAATGAGGCGTCTTGTAATAATTTATAAAAAGGTTTGATATTAACAAGTAATTATTTATCAAGAATCAAGAATTGGCCAACCAAGAACGAGAAGCTGCAATATCAGCCAATATCATGCGGCGACGTCAATGATGCAGGAACAGCAATGATAGCAGTTGAAGCTTTTTTTTTACAACTTAGAATGGCAAACAAGCTGACGGCTCTCCTGATGGAGAGGGGTAACCGTCGCCTATATACATGAGCAGTACCTGACATGTTCATATCAGCATATTGTTTCCCTCATGCGTTGCCATTCCTGAAAACTCGGGTGTTATTCCCCTGTACCCTGTAAATTCACTACCATATATATACACAGGTAGTCTATATAGATAGATATACATATACACAGATAGTATACCCTGAGAAAGGTCATAGACTACTTTATAGTGCGAAAAAAGTATTGGAAGGGATTAAAAGCGGAGATGAAAGGTTGTATAAAAGTATCGTCATTGTTTAAGTGAAACAATGAAACTTTTTTAGGTTATAATCTAAATATATTTCCTTTATTTGGTCAAGTTTATTATACCACGCTGACGAAGTCGCGGATACACCTAATATACATATAAGGATGGGACCTTTAAATCAAAACAAAGCCTTGAAAACACAACTATTATATATCAATAAAATAATTATTTGCTAAGTATAATATTTAGAACAAGTGAATATGGCAATAATGTATCCGACTCTTATAATAAATTATATTGTATCTATTAATAAATAAACTGAATTAATATGTAAGAAGAATTAATTAGTAAATTTATGTTATAGTAATTTCATCTTCTTGTCCTTATCCCAATTATTTGTTACTCATATTACTTAAGGTTTTGGCTTTTAGTTGTACAATCGGCCAGCATCCTGACATCAACCCTCTAGGAATAATATAATAAAAAAATATGGTCATTATTAGCACTTTGACAATTAAGATAAATCACGTTATTTAAAAAAAAGCCAATAAGTAGTTTATGTTACTCAGTTAAGTAGAAACATATCACATTATTAATTAAAATATTACAAGGATCAAAATGGTTCATACTAAATCCACACCGATTGCGCTACACGGTTATTTGCGTCTGTGTGCGTGTATTACTGTGTGTGTGCGTAAATCCATGCGATTAAACCTAAAGTTGAGCGGCATCGTTTTGTAATAGTCCTCTTAATATAAATAGGTGTTGTTTAGAACTAAATAATTTTCGTATAGAACTGTGTAGCCAATTTCTTACCACAACATATTCGAGAGCAATTGTTTGCAACACACATAAAGTTATTGTCATCACATTGAAACAATTTTTGTCTGTAAAATCTATTTATTAACCTTTAGTACAGGTTATTACTTAGGTTAAATTTTGCTACCTTTCTCATATGTGGGGTGCCAATTTTTATAACACTTACTGTTAATTATATAATTAACACACTATTAGTGATAGTGATAGCTATCCAATAAGTCGATTAGGACTCATCATGCTTAGAGCTACCTTGCACAGTTTCGAAAGTTAGGATATTGAATGATGGGATTAGTTTTCATTAATAGTTCTAAAAAAAATACATTCTTAAACAGATGTTAAGAAATTATATTCACATTAGTTGTGTTATGTTTAAGGTGTATATTAAGAGATGATATAATGCCCACTGTGTTCGGTTTCTTTCGTAATATAACCGGTATAAATCGATTGATGTTTCGATCGAACCGACCGAAGTCGAGTAATGTTTATTGCATGTAAAGTCATGTTCATTGGAAATCCTATAGTCTTTCCTTCGGCTCCAAAACTCGTGGTAGGTACAAACTGAGATTAACCGAGGCCCCTGACAGACCGAAGAGCAGTAACTGGGAGTTTTGGTGAATAAGAAACCGACAAAACCCATTCGCTCCCCCTGGAGGGTGGTCGAATCTGTGAAGATTTCTTCTCATAAAAAAACAAAGTAGACACTGAGAGCTCCCAGTGAATAATAGTTGTTCTGTAAATCCAGAAATTATTGTAATGATGTGTTATTGTTGCATTTTAACTACAATTGCTACTTCATGGCAGGCATTGTATTATTTAAAAATCAGTTCTTGTATTATTTAAAAAGTAAAGAAAATACTGTCATGGTAGACTTCAACTTTTTTAATATGATTTAATTCATTCGTTGTTGTTTTTTCGATATATCAGATGAAGCTATAGAATATTTATTCAGTATCGAATACTGTGTATAAAAGTTTATTTTTACCTTTTTTCATACAGTCGGTACATTGTTTAGAGCGCTTCCACTATGTAGCGCTGCTTTGCGAGTCGCTGAGGCTAAGAGTTTTTTGTATTAATCTACAGATGGCACCATGAGTAGCGTATTGTAAATTAGCAGGAATAAGAGTAGTAGCAAGTCAACCCAAGAGCCGTTTTCGTAATACAATTTGTCTTCATGTTAAATTGTATTAAGATCTGTTCGGCCGTTTTTTGTTTTTGGCCGTAATTTTGTTTATAAATAATTGTCGTAAAGGGCAAGCTAAGCCAAATATCAAGTGGAATACTCATAAAATTGAAAAATAATCTCGATATATATGGTAATGATTTTATAGGAAATTGATCACGTGAGCAAACAGTTTGTATGCAGGTTTTAACATTTATATCGTATGTTTTACATTACTTCATGGACAAATTTAGCTTTACTTTCAGTTCTTTGTATCTTGGCTTCGTACGCCCTACAGTTGCCAACCGTTCTGTTTTCACAGGACATGTCCGAGTTTTTATAGTGTATTGGTATG